GGGGTCAAATTCCAGCTAAGCTGATGCCTTTTTAAGAATTTTCATTGGACAGCAGTCTTACAGAACATAACATAAAAACTGAAGGCGGTTGAGTGCTTGGCTTCACACCTCCTAACCCATGACTGAACCCTTACTTTTATATTTATTCTACAGCCTCTATCACTTCCTACACGGCAAAGTCTATAAAAACTGGGAGAGAAGAAGCAGATGTGCAGGAGCACAGAGAGGTAGCAGAAGCAGGGGAAGATAAAAGAGCTGGGAATGAGAACGATAGAAGAAAAGGCTGAGGTAGGAGGATGAGAGGAGGAGCAGAGTGGAGGATGAGCAGATTGCTGCAGGAGAGAACAGTGTTTGCACTCTCTCTGACACACTGACCTAGTGATGCGGCGAAGCTTCCAGCTCCAGATTACCAAGCCGCAGCCCTATGGGATGTGGAGGGGGAGGACGGCGAGGGGGATTAATTGTGCCTCCAGAGCGAAGAGAGCAGGAAGATTAACTGATTGGGGGAAGCATTGAGGGATTACGACTCTATGGATGGAGGGAGGCTGAAATAATCTCGGCGAACCAACTGGCACAAGCCACCGCATGCATGTTTGTTTGTGCTGAGGGAGTAAACAACACGCCGAGGTGGTAGAAAATTTAAGGCTAAATCACTGCTGTGCATTAATGCACGGGGACGTTTCACAGTGTTACCAGCGAGAAGTCCGAGTGGGATCTGAGGAGAGCTGATGGCGCGGAGTTTGTCCACAAGGGTCCCTGCTGGAACCATGTGCAGCCAATCAGTTTCAGTCTGTCCCTCCATCGCTACAAAGACTCTTTGATGTGAGTGAGGCCTTTAAATTCAACCCTTGGGAGTCACAAGACGAAACCTGGCTTTGATCTGACTAAGGGCAAACCTTACGTTCCTCCTAACAACAAAACTGCAGAACAACAAAATATCTGCTAGGAAAGGAAGCCGCGGTGTTTGAACTCTCTGCGGCTTGGTGGGGAAGTTGGTATTTCATTCAAGAAGCACATTTCGTGTTTTGTTTTTTGTTTTTTCAAGAAATCTGGACCTATACTATTGGCTCTCGTTTGAAATATGAAACATTTTGAATAGTCAAACCTGAACTGGATAATTCCACCCCAAACCCAATTAAACTGAGATTCATTTGTCTCCCTCCCTCCTCACACCAAGAGAAATCAATATTTTCAATCCTTTTCTTGGCATGGCTTCAAAACAACCACAAACTGAGAGAAATATTTCCTAAAATCTCATCTCGTCTCGTCTAATCACTTCTCATTCTTATCACAATGTATATGGAGCACAGATGGAGGGGTCTTGCCCAGGGCAGCATTCATGCACGCACCGCCACAGGCGACAATTTACTTTCAAACATTCAAACTCTCCGTGTAATCTCAGAAATTCAGCTTTGCCTTTTTGCTCCTCTGTCACAAATAGTCCGTCTATTTATGTTTCATTTTTACCAGCCAAAACCCCCAATCCCCCCAGTCAACTTCCTCATCCTGTTATACCGTCGCTGGCAGCCTTCCAAACGTCCTCCAGCTTCCCCCTCCCTCCGAGTCTCCCATGCTCTTTCCCACTTTTTTGTCGGGCAACAAAATGTCTGCCGCGCTCAAATCCATGCCGAGGCCCTCCCCTCCACGCAGTCCCTCCGCGGGAGCCGCATAGCAGTTACATAAGAGCTGAGGTCAAAGTGTCACTGCCTTTGTCAAGGCTGATGCAGGGCGACGAGGAAACGAGTGAGGGTGCAAAGAGAAGGAAAACGACTCAGACAGACGTCGGAGAGCAGAACTGTGCGGAAGATTTTAGCTGATGCACATAAATGAACTGGCTGTGGTATTTGGATATATTCAAATGTGTCAAACTGAGATGGGGAAGTACACAAATAAAAGCAGATAATGTGTGCAAAAAGGGGGAAGTGGCAAAGGACAAAGCTCTGCAGATACACACGCCTGTGTTAGACAACATGTTTGTGCTTGTCTGCGTAATTCTGTGATGATCCTGTTGGCTTTCTGCTCTCTGCTGCTCCACTAACCTAGTTTGAGTAATCTTTGCCTTCAAACTGTTTCATAACAGCGCTGCCAGATGATTGCATCATAAAGCCGCTTGCCACTGCAACATCATCCTTCCAGTTCCCAGAAATAAAACCGTCCCAAGAGCAGAGATACACAGATTCAAAATTGCTTTCATTTGCTTTGCCGCAAATCTAAACTGATGAGCTGGAAGCTTTGCCTGCCACAAGTTAGTCGCCAAATGGAAAAAAGAAAAAAACAAAAAGAAAATCTGCAGAACAGATTCTAGGGGGTGGAGGTATGGGTCATTTGGCAGGTGTGCAATACTTATGGGTTAAGTGAGATATCAGGAGTCATGACATGTTACTACATCAGTTTGGAATAACAGATGCAAAACATCAGCCCAACTTCTGCGAGTCCAAATCCATTTGGGTAAAGAAAAACTTGCCCTCAAGACAATTCATCAGAAAATAGTGAGTGAGCAAACACTGGGAATTTGGCCAGTGATTATATTCAATTCAGAATTTCCGATTCAAATTGACTATACATGCAATTGATCTGAGCACATAAACACAAAATAGGTCCACAAAATCAGTTGATATTTGTTGTCAAAAGAATGATCCTATTTTGATATTCACCGGCTTTTGCTGTAATACTCTGCAGAGAATCTGTTAACAAAAACAACTTCTAGTCATGCAATCCACAAATCTGGCCTATATAGAAGAATGGTGAGAATAAAACCATTGTTGAAAGAAAGTTTTATGTTTTTTAAAGTTTGCCTAAAGCAATGCATGGTAAATCGGGTATCCACTGTAGCCAGAACTACAAGTTCTGTAATCAGGGTTTACACAGCCTCGGTTGTGGACTATTTCTACAATCAAGCACATCTAAAAATCTGTGTTAGCAACTCCCAATTCAGATTAAAGCATGCTCATGTATTGGAATGGCTCAATTAAAGTCCAGACTTGCATCCAATTGAGAATCTCAGTTCCAAACTTCCAAATTGACATTTAAAGACACTCTCCATCCAATGAAGTTACATACACTGAAAACAAAAACAAAAAAGCTTGAACTATGTTTCTAAGAAGAATGAGCAAAAGCGTCATTCTCCAGATGTGCAGAGCTGGAGAGGGACCTCGAAACAGTTGCAGATTTAATGCAGCAGAAAGTAATTTCATATAGTGAAGGCATGCATGCCACACTTTTCAGATTTTAATTGGTCAAAAAAAAAAAAAACTAAACAAACTCCCATTTTCCATCAGCTTTATAGTCATGTTCTGCTTCGTTTTTGATTTACCACTTAAAGTGTAGGGAATCCACACTGACATTTTTCTCTCTAAGATGACAACAACAACAACAAAAAGTGAAAAGTGTAACTCCTGCAAAGCTCTGTGTCTGCACACTAAGTCAGGCAGACCGATCACCACGGCAGCAAAGGTGTGGTGGGTTCTTCACAGCTTATCTTTTTATAGATAACTTCTCGGTTCAGGGTTTCATAATAAAACACTTGCTCCATGTCATCAAGACTGACAGCCTGCCTAAAAATGAAAAGAGGCAGGAGGAAGGGAAGGGTGTTTAAAGACGACGCCAAGACTTTCAGTTCTGCAAGATCAGAGTCAATGTGACGTGAAACAGCTATTTGTCTAACAAAAGACCCGTTTGGTAGGTTTTGCTGTTGGTTTTTACTTTGGCATCACGCCATAAGAAAGGTATGACGTTACCTAACTTAATGGGCCCTGCTCTGTTGCACAAATAAAGCTGCTTGGTGCAACATAATGCCAGGGAAGTATTAAAGCAGAACTGACCGCGGGGTGTAATTACCTTCCTAATTTTTTTTGCTCAAAGGAGTTAAAGCTGATCCTTCTCACATTACTCTCCTGGACAAAAAAAAGAGGAAAAAAAAAACGAGCTGTGGGCCACTTTATTAATCATTTGCCAGGCCACCTTAAACGCGCTCCCGATTGCGCGCACCCGCGCCCGTTGCGGGAGGAGCTGACGGCGGTGAGATCATGTGAGAGTCCACGCTTGGAGAAAGTAGGTTAGCAGGGTAGACGGAAAGGAAAGCAGGCGGAGAATCGGAGCGCAGAAAGGGGGGGGTCCAAACAGCGCTCCTTCACCGTGCGGATCCAATCTGTCAAATAAAACCACAAAAGTTGAGGAGAAGCTGCTCGTCGGTGCGCGACAGACGTCTACCATGAGATCCGAGGAGATTTCCTGCACTCTTTCATTTTACTCTAACTTGATCGAGCGATAAATAAAAGGAGTTTATTTCTCTCTTCTTTTTTTGGCACTTTCTTTTTTTCCTTAAAAAAAGAAAAGAAAAGGTTTTTGGGGTCGTGCGTATTAAAGCTGATCGCAGTTGGGAATAAGTTCATATTTACAGACCCAGGCTGGGGCGCTTTATTCGCCTCTCGTCAGTTTTCCAACACTAAATTCATGTCGCCGAGTCTTCACCGCCCTGCGCAGAAATAAAGAACACGTCAAAAATGAGAGGTAAGGTTCTTTTTTCTTTTCTCATTTATTAATATGTTCAAATGAATAAGTTATTGCTCGTGCAGCCATGCCGGATCATAACGTTGCCTGTTTCGGGTTGGATTTTTTTATTTATTTTTTTTTTTGCCACATGTGTGCGCACAGGGACTCTGTAGAGAGCGCCCGCTTTTCCTCCCAGTGCGCACTAATCCCTCCTGACCGGATTATGGCCGCACAGAACCCTGCTAAACCCCCCCCCCCCCCCAAAAAAAAAAAATAACAAAAAAACAAACAAACAAAAAATCCCATCAACTGCGGTGATGAGCGAGGCTTAGATGAAGAGAATAAACAGAGGCGGCGTGTTTTCTTGACATGAAATTCAGAACAAGGCTTCGGCTGTAGCTCCTGCACGCGCAATGTTGCGTTTTGCAATTCACGGCGGTGCGAGCTCATAAACGTCAGAGAGAAAAAACAGAAACAAGACAAAACAAACAACAACAAAAAACCCTCACCTGAGACTTCTGTGGATTTTTTCGGGGGATCCATGTTGGAAGTTATGCAACGAGAGAGGGGAGGGAGAGTGTGGGGGTTGTTGTTAACCAAACTATTATGTAATCGAGCTTATCAGGTTTCTTACAATGTTAATCAAATACATTATTTTTTATGCCTTTGTTTTGCATCTATTTGTTTCGCGTCGTGAAACATATGGAAGTGCTTCCACGTATGAGGTTATGTGTTTATTACGCACTCATGAACTTGAATTGTGTGGTTTTCCTTTGAAATCCGCGATTGCCAAATTGAACAAAGTGCTCCTCCGCACAGGGTGCGCAGGATCAATCTTTGGTGTTGTTGTGGTGGGATGGCCGTGCCAGCATGGCCGACAGTGTGAGTTACGGAGGGAGAGAGAAACCCGGCTGTTCCACTGACCTAGTTATGTCACAGAGCATTATACAGCATCCACAGCGGAGGGAGGGGAGGAGGACTCTGGGAAGCGTCGTGACGGCAAAAGCGCGCAGCGCCATGCGCGGCTGCAGGCGCAAACGTTACGCACATTGAAATCCCCAAAGGATCTTGAGTGAGTTTTATTTCAAGAAATTGCTATCAAGTAATATTTCCCTTTCTTAAAGAGCGCGGTCTCCTGTTCAGCTTCTGGAGTTATCAGAGGCGGTGATAGACTGTCTGAGGCCCCGGGGACGTCGACAAACATAGTCACATAAAAGCACAATAAAATGGAAAGGAAATTAAGAAAAAATAAATAAAACAAAACTTAGTCACTGGCTCTCCTACTGAATACTTGATCCAAGTCTGTGCTTTGTAATCAGTTACCCACTGGGCTCAGAAGGTGGACACATGGGATTGTCAAAGTAAATGACAAATATGACCAGAATTTACAATAAAAAATATCAAATTTAGAGAAAAATAGTAACTTTTTCTGTCTCATGATATCAGCTCAATTGGTTTCTTAATACTTGAATAGAGAATTGATATTTGGGGTCACTGTTATTTTTTTAGTTGGCACCAGAAGTGAAACTTCTTCACAGCAGCATAATGCTTTTGTAAAACTACATTCCCATTTAGAGTGAAACCTGCCTTGCCATAAGTTCCCAGCTTGGGACATATGGCAAAATAAAAGTTGAAAAAATACATTTGGGCAAACCTAAGGGTTTCAAATTTGGGCCTACAATTGATATTTGAATAAAACTGAAAACAAAAAGGTAATCACCTATAAATGCCATCAAACACAACACTTAAATACTAATATTCAAATTCCCAAGCATCATTCATCTGATATATTTTGCCTTTAGAAATTGCCAAAGAATATCAACATATAATATTACAGCCAAATGCTTCAATGCAGGGCCTTTCTTTAGTAAGACCACTTGTGGCACCATAACCTCAGCTTCATTGTTTTTCACATTAAAAAGATTCACTTTTTACTGATCTCCAGATAGTTTAACGTTGCATGCTTTTATCTCTGCACTTTATGTAGTTGTACTAAATAGAAAGATGGTGAAATAAAATAGCTTGGATACTTTTTTGCATCTTAAATACTGCATACCACACACAGCTTTACTTTGTTACCACTAATGTATCATTTAAATAATTAGATCTCTAAGCTTGACTTTTGTGACAACTCTGGTACACTTGTTGCCTCCTGCTTTGTTTGACGGTCCTGAACTGTTGCTCAGTTTGGAGTTAGATTTGATTAGGCTGGCTCAAACATTTCTTGCAAAGCTCGAGCTGCGACATTCAGCTTCACTCCCATTTCAAATAACCCATCAATATAGCTAACTAATGTTTTTAAGTTGCTGCATGTCTTTCTCCTTGCACTGTTTTTGTCTTTTCTGCAAGAGTAGAGTTGACTTACAAAGAGAGTTGCCTTATCTCTGTCGGGGAGGAAATTGATTTTTTTGCTCAAGAAAAAAAGGGGCTGGGGACAGACAGAGAAACATCGGGGCCTTTGGTGGAGGGAGGTTCCCTCTCTGGCCGGATATCCAAATGTAAACAATCTGCAGTCCTTTCTTAGCTAGCTCAGCCAAAAAAAAAGTAGGTTTTTTTTGGGGGGGCGAGGGGGTTGACACAACTTCTTGTTTGCTCTCTCACAATACATGTCAGAATTTTGTATGCTGGTCTGAGCACATAAGATGCAATCAGAACAAGTTTTGTAGTCTGCTCTCCTGCAGTTTTGACATGCTTGCTACAAACTCTGGATTGTTTTCCAGCTCCACTGTAGCACGTCGTCAGCTATCTGTCCACTTCCACACAATGTTTTATAGCAACAGTGAAAGATCACAAGACATGTGTCACACACAGACAGACAACCTGTGTTAGAGGCCAGTGAAGTGCTCAGCTCTGTTCCCGTTCCCCCACTGTGGGCCCCCGCTCAGTCTCCAGTGGTATTTGCATCTTTTAAAATAGAAAGAGCCCACCGAACTTGCCAGCAGCGAATGTCCAGACTGTACACATTCTGCACACTTAGCATCCTAATATAAGTATAAAGTAGGATTCTACCAGTTTAACATAAATCGTTTTTTATGTTAAAGCAAAAACACCTTTTCACTGTACTCATGAGAGTTCAGTGTTAAGAGATGTGAGTCTGAATCCCCCAACCCCCAAACCCCCAAAATTCTCAAAATAGATCATTTTACATCTAATTTTAGGGAAATTAAATCTGGAAATTATTCCCTACACTTTAGCCACAGAAAGGGTGTTTTTTCTTTGTTTTTGTTTTTTGTTTTGTTAGTTTCTTTGAAAAAGTGTTAGAGATCCAAATCATGATACTTCCACTTGAACTGGTGAAAATTGTTCTCATTTTGTTTCACCAGAAAGTTTGAAATCTAACAAATATTACAGCAATCAACATTTGTCACCATGTTGTTACTCATGCTATAAAAGATTTGCATTGTGAAAGAAATGACATTTACTTGTGCTTCAACAGTTTCCCAGGATTATAAAGATTAAATGGCACTTTTATGTGTATGCAGGTTGTCAGGTGTGATGTTGTTAGGTGTGTTTGACTTTATCATAGATCTCTGACACACTGACACACTGAATGTGTGACGCACTGGTCATAGGGCATGTCAGACATTTTTTTGCCTGCTCGTTCCTCGATGGACATCGAGAAGTGAGCTGTTGGAGGCTCAGACAGTGATTTTCCTTCTCCCGTAAGCCCGCCTCACCTTCTGCTGAATTACTTCTTTGTAGCGATAACCAGCTTGTACATTCAGGTGGCTGATAAACAGTCAGAGGCCAGCGCGTTTGTCTCGGCTGTTAAAGCTATCTCTTTCCCTTGTTTGCTTTGCATAAAGGTTTGCAGCCCCGAAGTTCAAAACACCTGCTTTATTCTGGAAAATTTGTTCCTGTTTTGCATTTTTATTCTGCTCAGTTATAATTGGTTGCAGATGCCCACTCAGATTTGGTGACAAACTTAAACCCCTCCAGACCTTATGCGTCATAACTTGAAACAAAAAGCGGTGCTGGTATTGATCTTCTTGGAATGCTCTGTGTCTCAAGAGAGCGAAAGGTAAAAAAAACTGAGCGCAGCTGAGCAGGGGTATTCAGGGTTAAAGGTAATCACTCTTCTTATTTTTCCGCCATTATCGACATTGAGCTAAATTGGTTTGATGTGCTTCACCTCCACAAGTCATGGACCTTTCAGCTAATTGATAAAGAAGTACATATTCTGATTAGAAATCAGCCTCTAACGTCACTTTTGAAGCAAAAAACGCAGATAATTATATTCAAATGCCTTTCCTTTGGATTTTCACAATAGTGCACAAATTTCTCCTACTGAGCTGTTGATGGTAGAGTCAAAGTTTGGAGTTAGCTACTTGCTACAGACCTTCCTCCTGATTTATGTTTTGTTTTCAAATCTATGATTGTGTGCATCCACTTTACTTTGTTGATCCTCATTCGTTTATCAAGTTACGGTCAAGTGAGTCACAGTAAACACATATGAAAACTATTTGAAATCTTTGATCGGAAAGGGTTGGCTCAGGGTTTTCCAGTCAAAATGGCTTCGTCTGAACGAAACATGCCTCAGCCTGGGCTGGACTTCAGCAAGGGATTACTGAGGGAGCGTCAATAGAGTTCTTACAAACACTGTCTGTTTCAAGGTTTCTAAGAAAACTTATTGGGTCATAACATTGAGATGTTTTCATGTATTGGATTTCCATACAAGATATCCCACACAACTATTTTGAGAAGACTATGTAACCAAACACAAGCAACAACTGCCAATTTTATGGTGCGTTCGTTTTGTTCTTAAGTTGGAAATATCGCAAGAATGCCACGTGAATGTGGAATTAAAAACTGGGAAAGTCAGAACTTGCCACCAAGCAGAACCACATAATTAAACACTCAAAGGGTAAAAAAAAAAAAAAAAAAAAAAACATTGTCTAAGTACCGGGCATTAACTATGTAGACGCACTTAAGGCATTGCTTTCAGCTACTGGTGCACTTAATGCTGTGTAATATTTATGTTTCTGGTTTTTATTTTCTTTTTATAGTATTTTCCACATAAAGCTTTACCAGGCAATTCTTGTTAGCATAACAGCTTTTAGCGCATCCCATTGATTTTCCAACCTGCAGCTAGAATGCGCTCAACTTATTCTCAGATATAAGCGCTAATTTCCAAACCACTTTGGACTTTTCTGTTTTCCATGGAGTTCAGTGACTCTGTTACATCATAGGTATTGTATACAATTTTGCATGGACGAAGACATTTCTGCAGATGACATTGTGTTTATTGGAATCTTTTCAGGCCTAGAAAGAGCTTAAAGTTGACGTTTAACCATTGCACTGTTGTTGTTTGTATTTGCGAAGTAAACTTGTGAGGTTGGGGTCACCAACACTGTCTCTAACCCAAAGTTCCACCTTCTTCTAAATTTGGCTAATGTCAAGATATTGCAATGTAAAATAACTAAAGATGCAATATATTGATGTATTTCTCACAGTTAATTATATATTGACAATGAAAACATGGTTACATAATGAGTCACACTGCAGGAATTCAGATAATGTTAGGTTT